TAATACTTTTAACACAGAGAAGACATATCCAAAAGAGTCTACATTTTAATACAAATAAAGTCATAGAAACTCTCATCATATCTAAGAAAATTTAGAAAGAATTTTACAGTAGAAGTTGACAGAAATTAAGGAAAAATAATTACCTTGAGAGCTCATTCATCAAGTATTTATTAGGCACCAACTGCTATGTGGGATATGAAAGAATTACAAAAACAATCTTAGTTCCAAAGGGATTGTTGAGTTTTGAGTTAATTTAAATGGGAGTGATTGAACAGTTTCACAGTTATGGTCTTCTGCATATTTGGCTAACATACTTACAATAAAACAAAAGAAACTCTGAAGTTAAGGAATTCCACCTATTTTTCTTGTTCATGAAGACCTTGAAATATAAATTAAATTTTGAATCATTTTGAATATTTTATCTTCCCTACCTCAGAAAGAGATAATTTAGAGATGTTGGAGATAATTTGTAAAAATACCATGTAAAATCTACCTTGTAAAAATACCATGATATACTAATAAAAATTTTAGTGGATGTCACAGCCTGTTATGTAAGTTTATATAGTTTTATTTTTCATAAATGATTATGTTTGATAATTCTTTGCCTTCATATAATTATTTGAGTAAGATTTCAATATTGTTTTCTAAGAAATATACTTACTTATATGACCATCTAGCCATGACTACGAGTACTAATGGCTATAGCTTAAAATTAAACTACAATCATATATTACTTAACTACAGGGATATGCTCTGATAAATGCATCATTATATTATTGCATTATTGTGCAAACATGTGATAGCATGTACTTACACAAACATAGATGGTATAGCCTACTGCACATCTACGCTACATGATATAGCTTATTGCTCATTGGCTACAAACCTGTACAGTACAAACCTGTACTATACAGAATACTGTAGGCGATTATAACACAATGATAAATATTTGCATACACAAACACATCTAAACATAGAAAAGGCACACTAGAAGTACACTATAAAAGACTAAGAAATGACCTGGGGCCTCATGCCTATAACCCTAGCACTTTGGAGGCTGAGGTGGGTGGATCGTTGGAGCTCAGGAGTTCCAGATCAGTCTAGACAACATGACAAACCTCATCTTTACAAAATATACAAAAATTAGCTGATCATAGTAGCACACACCTGTAGTCTCAGCTACTTGGGGGTTGAGTTTGGAGGATCACTTGAACTTGGGAAGTCAAGGATGCAGTTAGCCCAGATCATACCACTTGCACACCTGCCTAGGTGACAAAGTGAGACCTTGTCTCAAAAAAAAAAAAAAGTAAAAAAACTGTACACCTGTATAAGGCACTTACCATGAATGCAGCTTGAAGGACTGGAAGTTTCTCTGTTTGAGTCAGTGAGTGGTAAAGGAATGTGAAGCCCTAGGACATTATTACTGTAGACTTTATAAACACTGTCATACTTAATTTATTTTTAAAATAGTTTTCTTTCTTCAATAATAAATTAGCATTAGCTTATTGTAACTATTTTACTTTATGAACTTTGTAATTTTTAAAACTTTTGGACTCTTGTAATAACACAGCTTAAAACACACACTTTACTGCTGAAAAATATTTTCTTTTTAAATATCTTTGTTCTAAAAGCTCTATGTTACTTTTTTTTTTACTTTTTAAACTTTTTTGCTGACAATGAAGATACAAACACATTAGCCCAGGCCTACACAGGATCAATATCATCAATATCGCTGTCTTTCACCTCCGCATCTTGTTCCACTGGAAGGTCTTCAGAGACACACTTGGAGCTGTCATCTCCTATGATAACAATGCCTTCTGGAATACCTCCTGAAGGACCTTCCTGAGGCCTCTTTACAGTTAACATTTTTTTATAAGTAGGAGCACACTCTAAAATAACAATTCAAAGTGTCATATAGTAAATACATAATCTAGGGATGAAGTCGTTTATTATTATCACCAAGTGTCATGTACTGTACTTAATCGTATGTGCTATATGTTTATATGACTGGCAGCAGCAAGTTTGTTTACACCATCATCACTACAAACACATGAGTCGTGCACTGTTCTTTATGTTACCAGGCAATAGGAGATTTTCAGCTCCATTATAATCTTATGAGACCGCTGTAGTATATGTGGCTCATATTTGACTGAAACATCGTTATTCAGCACATGGTTTTATAACATAGGTTTGCCTTTGTGTATTATGTTAGACACACTCATCAAAATCCCATTAAAAACAATAAGAATAGTTTTTAAAAACATTTGTCAATTTGAGAAATGACTTGAAAGTAGGAGGATATAAATTTCCAACAAGTGCATATTCAACTTTATTTACGGTTTCATTTTTAACTGAGTTCTCAGATATTTAATCTCTTAAAAATAAGTGTTGACTACAAATTGAAATTACACATTTCAAAGTAAAAAAAACTCTTCAGAAAAATGTATGCTGGATACTTGTAATAGGTAATTAGCTTCACCACTAATCTCTCATATACTTTTTGAAAATAAGGTTATTAAAGAGTTGAGCCCAAAGGCAAGGAACACATAGCAAGGAAGGTACAAAAACAATGATATTTTAATCCTTAAAGTACAGCAAATAATTGTGATATTGATATATTTATCACAAAGCATTTCCAATGATGCCTATTCTTAAAATTTTGACATGTTACAGTTTTTAAAAAATGGCTTCATTGAATGTCTCTATTCAACTCCATGTAGCAAGGTAAACTTTGCTTTATCTTTTTTAATGGAATTTGAAAATTGCTTTTCACTTTCCAAATGGAGATGAGGTACAGTGATAACAATCATTATTGCTATTATTGAACAGCTCTGAATAAATAAAGGCTTTGAGGATAAACCATACCAGCTTTGCCGTCCTGTGGTTTTATTGACACATAAAGTGTCTGCTCAGAGAAAAATCTTGTCTGACAGTATTTTGGAACCATTTCTTTTCCATTCTTGTTACTTTAGTATTTGCTATTTTTATGTACATTTTTGAGATATGTGTGTATATATGTATATATTTCACGTAAAAATACATGTATATGTAAATTTGTACATGTGATATGTATACACATACTGTTTGTGTGTGTGTGTGCATGTGTGTGTGTAGTATGTTGTGTTTAATCAGTCCTACACTAGACTATGAGGAAAAATTCTAAGTGTTTTACCTCCCCCAATCATATAACTGAACAGTAAGCTGCTAATTACACTATGAAATATTACATGTTATAGTAATAAAAATCAATAAGAATAAAAGACATTCCACACTAAACAAACGTATTTCTGTTCTAAGAGACCAAAGGGCTGATAATATAGTATATAGGCATGAAAGTGAAGATAGAAAACCTTGTATTACTTACAGGTTGTTGAAAATTTCCACAGCAGCCTGTCTTGATATTCTAAAATTACCATATTCTTCTTTTCATTTCAAGAAACCTTAATTTTCATTATATTCCTATTATATTCCCAAATCTTAATTTGCATCATATTCGCTTTATCAAAATAAAAATTTATTTACAGAAATACTACTCATACCACTAATTATCCTACTTGAATGCATATTACGAGGTTCGCCTGAATACCTAATAGGGCTTAGAAAGAATTTACTTTCTAGTAACTGAACAAAGTTCATAAAGTCACTTCTAGGCCAAGTACATATCATGCCTTTATATGCTTAATGCTATAAAAAGTACATTATTATTTTTGCCCTATTGAGGTAAGAAGAACACTTTAAAGAAGTAAACATTTTGAAAAAAAAGTGAATTACATCTAAAAAGTAATATCAATAACAGAGAGAGGGAAAAATAAGAAGAAAATACTAAGTGGTCAGTATCAAAATTATGGTCATCTAAGTGTACAGTTCATGCTGTTTCCCATGTAAGAGATCAAAACACACTGCCCCCAAACATGCTGTTTTGGCCTATTTGTTATTTAGAGTAAAAAACATTTGAAAAACAGCAGATGCTGTTTTTTTTTAGATACTATCTAAACAGTAGATAGTAAATACATTTGATAGCATAAATTAATAGTGATAAAAGTCATAACTAATACTTGAACATTTAGTATATTCTTACCCATATTCCAAGCATTTTGCATATTTTAATGCATATAATCCTCAAAACGACTTAATGTCATAGGTACTATTATTATTTCTATTTTATAGAGAAAGAAACTGGATACAGAGAGATTAGCTTAACATCACATAGCCCTTGACAAGTAGAGTCAAGATTTAGAAAAGTACATTATTGAAAGGGTTTTAATTTCAATATTTTAACTGCTTTTGTATTTATTTTAAAACAATAGTCCAACAGAAGCTAAATTTGAAACTCATGGATGACAGAAGAAAAGCTTCTTAAAGAAACAATAAAATAGACCTTTTCCAACTTGCCAGAGTGTAGCAAACCCCAAACTGACAAAAATTCACAGTTTCATCAATAAGAAGACAGCAAATAAATTTTTCTCCTTACTCCATGACACTGGTTCCCTTTCAAAGTCAAGTTAGATAATATGAGATAGTTGCCTGAGAGTGTTTTGTAACAATGGAGTCAGTTTATTATAGATATTAAGCACTCACCCACCCATCCTAAACATTTAAATCTGTGTCTCTTTTAACGTAACAATTTAGGGTTGGACCAGCAGGTATTTTCTGAGCATAATAAAGACATTGTTCCAAAAGCAAAAATATAAAAATAAAGAATATAACCTTCAGATATGTACTTCATAAACTCTGACTCTATTCCCTTCTTATCTACTGTATCTCTATTAAATGCCTGCCCCTTTTGATAGAGGGGAAAAAAATCATGAATTGAGATTTAATCATTGACAAACTTTCTATAAAATTTCTTGAATAATTTTTATTAAGCAAAATTGGGATCAAAGTCCAGTCTTCGAGATGCAGACTTTGGGATAACTGCTTCTTAATGTAAAGGGAATGCAACAGGTAAATAAAAGGGGAAATCTACTAAAATAAAATTAAGCAGTTGAAGACAGATTTTAAGTTGTATTCACTTTACTAAAAATGGTAATCGATGGTTTCTATAAAAGAATTGCTCAGACAGGTCCAAACAAATAAGGATTACGGGGGAAGAAAAAGACTGTGTTTTCTGAATGGCGGTTGTTGGTAATATAAGGACAATAAGAAAATTTGAATGTTGGATGGGGGAAGGAGAGCCAATGTTACAGGCTTAAAGAATGAATGAGCAACACGGGATGAAAGACAGCAGCGAACAGGCTACTGGGGAGGTATGTCAAATGGAGGAGAGTACAGTAATATGAAAGAGTTGAAGAGAGAATGTTTGTTTTAAGACAGGCCTTGAAAGTATGTTTTCAAATCAGAGGGCAGAAATCGCTGCAGCAACCAGCACGATTGATAATGTGTAGAAATGAAGGTAAGAAGAGCTCTGAAAATTGATAGAGCAAGGCCATAAGGTAGGAGAAGGAGGAAAGAGGGGTGGCCAAGTTAGCTTTGGAAAAAATCGCTTTTACTATTAGACAGAAATGAGGGAGAAAAATATATACACGGTAAGACATAAAGGGATGAAAAAGACGGAAAGTTCCTGTGCTGGTTCAGTTAAAATACTTTATGACTCAATTCTATTAATATAATTTACTTGCTATTGTCCACTAATACTACAAGTGTGGTAGTGTCCTGGCTAACCACAGCTACAACTCTTCTAGCCCACTGGGACTCCTGTGATGTTAACACATTATTGCTTCTCTATTGACTCTTGTGATATCTGTGTAGTGTGTGATAACACATTGGGGTTAGATTTCAGTGATTCTTTCTGATGGGGTGCCCAAAGAAATTTCATCCATGATTACAGACTTAGATGAATTCAGGCGAACAGACATTGCAAATTAGCAAAAGAATGCTAAGGAAACATCTAATGAGAAGTTAAAGGGAAAGTACTTTACCTTTGGATCATCTAGTTTCAAGCATAATGCCTAGAATAGGATAGGCACATAAATGTTTGCTGAATTAAAGGATTTATGAATGAAGCAAATAGCAGAGTTTTTGTTTATTTGTTTGTTTGTTTGTTTTAATGGGGTTTTAGAGAAATCAGATTATAGCTGCAGAATTTTAGTAGCTAAAAGGTGAATTTTGAGTAACAACTATTATTACAAGTAATTTCATCTGAAAATAATATTATTCAAAGATAAAGAAAATAATCATTTTCTATATTAAGTATGACAGATGAACGAATTTACATTCAACAAACATTTTAAATTTGAATTTTGTTTTGTTTTGTTTTACTTCTCAGACACTCACTCCTGTGGACTCCCATATTTACTTTTCCTTTTTATATCTTCCTGCTTCTACATTTGCTATCCACTATCACAGACACCTATAACAACATCACCAACCACAGTTGGAGTAATGGAGAATTTCTTAAAAAAAAAAAAAAAAAAAAAAAAAAAAAGGCCTTACTACTTTCTGATCATATCTTAGACATATCATAAGCCCAACATCCTACTTTGAGTCAGTTCAAGTCAATCGGGTATAAGAAAAAATGTTGGATATTTGGGAACATCTATAGCAACACTGTATAGTGGAACTATAATGTAAGTTGCATGTGTAATTTTACATTTTCTAGTAGTAAATTAAACTACATAAAAAAAGAAATAAATGACATAGTTGTATTTTATTTACAGAATATTATAATTTCAACATGAATCAATATAGAAATTATTAATGCTACATTTTCACTTCATTTTTATTTTGTGGTAGCATGTCTTAAAATCAAGTGCATATTTTATACTTATCTTAATTTTCACTAACTATATTTCACATTATCAGTAGCCACACATTGCTAGTGGCTACCACATTGAACAGCATAGATCAATAGGTCCAGATTACACAACTACAGGCTATTTTTTAACTAAACAGCTAATTGAGTTCCTCAAAAAAAATTATTCAGAATTTTTTTTTCCTGAAAACAAACCAATGAGTCAGGCTTATAACTACTTATATCTACTTTACTATATTGTTAGGCTCTGTATACTCTTTATAGACATCTGATAAGGGAGTTGTAGGAATAAGCCAGGCATTTTTTAAAAATAAGTATTTAAAAAAATTTTGTCCTAACCTTTTCTTTTAAAATGAATATAGGTAATGAAATGGAAATCTGAAACAGCAGTTTATTGCTTTTATTTCTTTTTTTTTTTTTTTTTTTTTTTTTTTTTGAGATGGAGTCTCGCTCTGTCGCCCAGGCTGAAGTGCAGTGGCCGGATCTCAGCTCACTGCAAGCTCCGCCTCCCGGGTTCACGCCATTCTCCTGCCTCAGCCTCCCGAGTAGCTGGGACTACAGGCTCCCGCCACTACACTCGGCTAGTTTTTTGTATTTTTTTAGTAGAGACGGGGTTTCACTGTGTTAGCCAGGATGGTCTTGATCTCCTGACCTCGTGATCCGCCCATCTCGCCCTTCCAAAGTGCTGGGATTACAGGCTTCAGCCAGCGCACCCGGCCAGCAGTTTATTTCTTAACGTTCTTATAAGTCAAACATTTTTTGCTGCATGCTGCCTGTATAGAGGTCCTGTCTATGTGTAGCTTACCATAAATCTTATTGTTTAGAATTTTCATATCAAGGAAAGCAAATAAATATCTTATAATCTTGTTAAAAGAACTTGAAGATGTCCTCCCACCACTGAGGACTTTCATCATGTAATTCAGAGTAAAGATTAGTGGTCATGTTATCGAATCCTAAAATAATAGTGTGTATTAGAAACATTGACAGATCTTTAATTGTAGCAGCACAAAGTGTACTACTAACTGTACCACACATCATCAATAAATAGGAATTTAGGATGCAGTTTGCTGCCTTGACCTTCAAGCTCCAATTGTGTTTCAGTCATCAAGAGTTCATACATAGTATAATTTACAATCTCTGAAAAGAGACTATGTGGACACAATAAACCACATATGTTATATGGGGGAAGGGTGGATATATAGTTGGCTTTATGGTCTCAAATTCAGTCAACCTTACTGGCAGAATTCACTTATGTTAATTCATTGCTTTTCAATCAGTAGCAAATAGCTAGTGTTTACTGTCATCTTTTTTTCTATGATCTTATAACATGTGTTCATTTTAGAGAACTTTAGATATTGTCCTGTTAAGCCAAAAACATTTAGGTCTCAAAGATCTCTTAGTAAACTTTTTTCTGATTATCACTTTAAGATGAATACTCCTGAATTACATGAAAAGTTAAAATTATACTCTCCTATACCAGAAAGAGAGCTACAATCAAGATGACTTTATTTATGGACAGTAACATTCCTACTTATTCTGAGGTCATGCTTCCCGAACACTGCAATCAAATTAAAATAACTGCAATCAAATTAAAATTATTTGCCCTCGGAAGGGCAAATAACTCACAAAGTCCAACAGACTGTCCCTTAAGAGAGTTGGAATAATACTGAATAACTGAAGCAATCACCAGCAGGTTCTAGCAGCTAGACACAATGACATCAATTAGAAGTAACCAATAACAATACAGAAATGAAAAGAAAAATAACAAAACACTAAAGTATTAATTCACTTTTCTAGTTTTCAGTAGCAGACTATCTGCAGTTATTTTGTCATAGAGGCAAATGACTCTCTTTGAGGACTTTATTGTATTATAAAAGAATATATAACTTGACCTTCAATCAACAAGAGAAAGTTAAATGTTATTTAAGTGGATTTTGAGAAACATAACAACTGTGATACCTTTCAGTAAGATTTTCTTGAGAAATACCCTTCCACTTTCTCATTAGCATCTCTTGAAGACTGGAGTCTACTAATTATAAGATCCTGCTTAAGTACCATCTACCTGTTATCATGATGCCTGCCTAAATCCTACCCCAGCTGAAGAAAACAATAACACAAATCCTTTTACTCCTTGATTTCTCTGTTACTGTTTCTTCACCTTTTTGGCAGTTATTGTTGAAGATATTTTATATGAATTTTAGATTCTAAGGCACAGGAAACACTAAAGTGTTGCAGAAGAAACACTAAAATGTCACAGAGGTTAGGTTACAACAGCAGGAAGGATCTACTATTCCTAGGGTTGGAGAATGGAAATATTTGGAAATATTAAAGCTTAGAAGCTCAAAGGAAGCGTCCTGTGAAGTTGAAACTCAGGCCTCTGAATAGGGGCCACTGCTTAGCTATCACTGATGTCTCTGAGATCAGAAATGGAACCCTGTGTAACTGGACCCCAGACTTACAAGGAAGGACTTTAGTCCGCTTGCGCTGGTGTCTCTGATGAGTATCGTGAGTCTGATTTAACTAATGTTGGAAAAAGTGAAAATCAGTATTAACTTCTACTACTAGAATGAACTGTCTCTACTTAGGTGAAGAAGCATTGTTAGGGTGACAACGACAGGAAAAGAAAGCTAAAACAGGAACAAATTGTAAATAGAAAGAAGCATCTTTTCTTCCTCCCTCTGGCTTCCAGCTTTCTTTTACTGCTTCTTACTAGAGTTTATCAGGGAGTCAACTGGCAAAGTGAAAATGCAGTTTGTAGAGTCCTAGTCCGAGGTTAACACAAGATAGTATACAAGGATGGGACTGCAACAACAACAACAAAATAAAGCTTAATAAACTGGCACATCTATTCAGAAGAAAGCCACTGTCTAATCTACACTCATATTCCTTGTATTATCTGGTGCAGTGAGCTGAATGGTGACTGCAAAGATATGTCCAGATTTAAATCTCTAGGACCTATAAATGTTACCTTATTTGCTAAAAGTGTCTTTGCAGATGTCGATATGGTTTGGCTGTGTCCCCACCCAAATCTCATCTTGAATTATAGTTCCCATAATCCCCACGTGTCTTGGGAGGGACCCAGTAGAGGGTAACTGAATCATGGGGGCGGTTCACTCTTGCTGTTCTCATGATGTGAGTGAGTTCTCAGAAGATCCGATGGTTCTATAAGGGTCTTTTCCCTCTTTTGCTCAGCCCTTCTTGCTGTTGCTATGTGTAAGTCTCTTGAGGCCTCCGTAGCCATTCGGACCTGTGAGTAATTAAACCTCTTTCCTTATAAATTACCCAGTCTCGGGTGTGTCTTTATTAGCAGTATGAGAACAGACTAATCTGATGTGATTACAGATTTCGATATAAGGAGATTATCCTGTATTATGTGAATGAGCCCTAAATCCCATCACAAGTCTCCTTGTAAAAGAGAGATGGGGAGAGATTAAATAGATACACAAAGAAGAGAAGGCCATGTGAAGACTGAGGCAGAGATTGGAGTGATATGGTCACAAACAAGGGAATGCCACAGTCATAGGAAATGGATTCTCCCTTAGAGCCAGAGAAAACGTGGCCCTGCTGACCTCTTGATTTCAGACTTCTGGCCTCCAGAACTGGAAGGGAATAAATTTCTGTTGTTTTAAGTCACCTAATTTATGGCAATTTGTTATGAAAGCTACAGGAAACTAATACATTTAGGTTATGCCTTTTACATAATAGATATTACAATTTTATGAAGTAAGTAAAATTAGAATTACAAAACTTTTGATTTACTCAGAGAAAGTTTAATCTACATAGAAAATCTACTAACATAACACTAATGAGTTAAGATAAATGGAACCTGTCTAAACCTAATCAAAATTGTATGCAAAATTAATAATTTGACTTTGGAAAATATGATTTTATGGATTATCAAGCCTTTCAATTGTGACTTATAATAATAAACGTATAAAATAAAAGGGCAAACATTTTCTGAAGTAAAATGAAGCATAAGTACTCATCAATCTCTAGTACTTAATCTAGAAAAATATTTTACTACATTTTTAATTCTTAACTCTCTATGTCTGAAATGACTTTCTATTCACCCATTTGATATTCTATTTTAGGAAAAAAGATGGCATTATGAATCAGCTTTGAAAAAATGCCTATTCTCTAGTTGTTCAAAGCTGTCTATTTAATTTCATGGTTAAGAAAAGAAAAGAGAAATTGGAAACACAGGAAATGTACAAACCACCTGCAGAGAGGATACTTAACATTTGGTGCCTATATTACATTCTTCCCTGTAAAACTTTTGTGTCTGACAAGGCTACATTTTATTGGCTTTTGAATTATATTGTGTAAAATTAGATTGAGTTAGCATATCATCCAAACTCCCTGGTGTAGCATATGTAAGCTTTGATTAGAAGATGAGACCTACTATGATTAGCAATAAAAGAATTGGAGGCACTGTACCTGGCACAATTGAAGGCTATCCCTTCCAGAAATATTTGGCTATGTTTCCTCCCATTTCACATTATTGCATAAAGACTAGATTACTATTTGCATATAATTATTTTGGATGAGAAAGAGAAGGCAAGGCAAATTTATAGTCTACATTAGGATTAGCCAAATATAACTAGACAGATACAAACAGAATTTCTTCTCAAGATTATTTAGTCATTTAAAGTGCATAACAAAAGTAATCTTGCCTTGTCAATCATATTATTTGAGCTGAAGTCAGCAGAATCCCATTTAGAAAAGATTCATTCTTTCTACATCATAGCTGTTAAAACCCACTCCTCATGGGAAAAATCTGTTATTCTTGATTTCTTCCCTCATCTTTATTCTCATATCTAACCCATCACCAAGTTTTGTAGATTATATGTCTGAAATGTTACAAATTAATCTTCTCTATATTTGCATTCCCATCAACATGATCTCTGTGATGATTAATTTTATGTGTCAATGTAGTGAGGTAATACTGCCCAGTTGTTTGTTCAAACACTAGTCCATATGTTGCTGTGAAGGTGTCTTACAGATGCAATTAAGATTTATAATCAGTTGACTTTAAGTAAAGGAGATTGCCCTTGATAATGTGGGTAGGCTTCATCTAATCAGTTGGAGGCCTCAAAAGCAAAACATGAGGTATCCTGAAGAAAAAAGAACTCTGCCTTGGACTATTAACATAATATAGAAATTCTAAGTAAATTTATAGCCTGCTACAGCCTGCCTACAGATATTGGAGTCAAGACTATAACATCAGCTCTTCCCTGAGTCGTCAGCCTTCCTTATCCATAGATTTCACACTTGCCAACCTCCTCAATCATATGAAACAATTCCTTAAAATTACACACAGACACACACAGAGACACACACATAGTGATGCACACACACATATACATGCAATCTCTTACTGTCCTATTGTTCTGTTTCTCTGGAAAATCCTGACTGACATGCCTAGATTATTAAAAGAGCACATCAGTGCTAATTTTTCCATTTCTTCCATTACCTCTAAAATCTGTTTTCTACGTAGCAATCAGAGATATACAGAATACATGATAATAGATTACACATAAATAGACAAAAAGTATGTTATAATCTACCTATAATCAGATATTAAAGGTCCTGAAAATAAGACTTAACCCCTCTCTGTGGCCTCTAGGCCCTTGTTTAATTTTTCAGTCTCAGCCCAAGTTACTCCCCCAAATCTATTTAGCTACCTTAAAGGAAAAGGTGATGTTTCTTTCCTTCAAGACAATTGTAAAGTTTGTGGTTACATATTTATTTGTTCTTTTGTCTGCTTATTTTCTGTTTCTTTCCAACAGGAAGTAAAGTCCCAAAGGGTAAGGTTGATATTTATATTTTTGAGCATTGTATTCTCAGTGCCTGGTATAGTTTTGCATATGCATATTAATTCATAAGCATATGAATTAGTAAGTATAATGGAATCAGTAGTAATTTTAGATAAGTATTTTGGAAAAGTGACATCAAATTCTAACTTACAGGTAAGAAAGGTAGTAAGAGAATCAGGAAATGCAAGAAACAAAGTATCACCCAAGCCATAGGCATTAATCTTATAGTCTAGATAGGAGTAACAGCAAAGTATTAAATATCCATTTTTGTATGTGTAAGATAAAATATATTCTGCTTCTCTTTTGGCTTACAATATGACCATTTTGTTCAAACTCTGTTTTGAAATCTTCTTTTTATACCACTCCAGTCTGTGAAGCTACTACAATTTTTTTTTTTTTTTTTTTTTTTTTTTTTTTGGAGACAAAGTCTCATTCTATCGCCCAGGCTGGAGTGCTGTGGAGCAATCTCAGCTCACTGCAAACTCCTCCTCCCAGGTTCAAGTGATTCTCCTGTCTCAGCCTCCGGCGCAGCTGGGACTACAGGGGCGCACTACCACGCACAGCGAAGTTTTTGTATTTTTAGTGGAGACGGGGTTTCGCCATGTTAGCCGTGCTGGTCTCAAATTCCCGACCTCAAGTGATCTTCCAGCCTCTGCCTCCTGAAGTGTCAAGATTACAGGCGTGAGCCACTTTTGTTTGTCAAAAAACAAATGCCTGACTGAATTTGTTTTTTAAAATAAAATTCAGAATGGCTGCAACCAGGTTCTATTCCTTAACTAATTTATGTAATTTACCATCTCTGGTAACTTTGAAGAAAAGAAAAAGTCATTTTTCTGAACTTCAGAGCCCTTACCAACAGCATGGGGAAAATACCAACCTGAATGAGTAATCTGATAGATCAAAAAACTGTATACGGAGCCCCTGGGAGTACGCGGAGAGAGAGACGGTTTTGAAACGAGAAA